AATAAAGGTGAACACTCTTTATAAGCAAAGAATATTAGGCCCCAGGAACTCACCTTGTCCTGGGAATACTTTCTCTTTTTGCTGAACCTAATGCTCAGTCAATCCCAAAGGCCGGCCATTCACTCTTACTTGCAGGGAATCAGGGGTCGTAAGCAGCTTGCTCCACTCTCATCTGTAGCCTCTCAAATTTTACCTTCCAGTCATCACAGGTCCCAGGTCCTGAGTTTCTGTAGCAGACAGAATGGTCCCCTGACCCAGAGAGGGCCATGTCCTAATCCCTGGAACTTGTAGATCCAGAACCTGGTGTGGCAAAAGGGACTATATAGACAAGATTAAGCTAAGGATCTTGAGATGGGAAGAGGGACATTTTATGATGTCTAAATTTCACCCAGATATGTTCCATATGTTTTTTTTCTTTTAGCGTCCTATATTGTAAAGTTCCCGTTTACTTGTTTTGGCCCCTGGGTAGCACAAATGATTTGCATTTGACTCCTAAGCTAAAGGTTGGTATTGGAACCGCTCTAACAGCACCATGGAAGAAACACCTGGTGCTCCGAGGCTGTCAAGATTATAGTTAGTAGTGAGAGGTGAGGAGATGTGGCAAGGGAAGCAGGAGTATGGGTGAGGGTGAGGGTGGGGAGTAGGAGAAGAGAGACAGACAGTCTTGAAGATGCTATGTTGCTGGCTTTGAATATGAAGGTGAGCCGTCAGCCTTTCTTGTTTGTATTTACAGATTGAATGTGTCAACAGAGCCCAGTTTGCTGGCCTGGCAGCATCCACGTATTCCTAGCTAGCCACCTGCTGCTCAACATGGGCCAGAGTAGCTTCACACCGTAAGCATTCAACTTGCTCAACTCATTTTGCCAAATCAAGATTTTATGGTGACTCTTAGCCACTTTACAAGGAGCCTGCTCAGGTAAAGGCTGGCCTGATAAGTGGAAGATTAGCGGTTCAATCCCCCCTCCACCCACCCCTGGTCCCCCCCACAGCTTCTCCAAGAGAGAAGGATGAAGTTGTCTGTGCTAATAAACAGGATCGGAAACCCTCTGAGTCACTGTGAGTCTGAATCACATGACGACAATGTTTTGCTTTGGTCTAGCTAAACATACCTTACCCACCCATTGGTCTTAGCTGAAATTTCAATACTTTCCATAGTTTATTCAGACACTTTAGTTTAGGCCCAGGAGGTGGGCTTCCCCACCTTAACATTATAGATGTTTCCAGGAGAACCCTGATCTGTTGGGGGCAATGGGAACATGGCAGAACGCTGAGCAGCATCTCCAGTGTCCTCCACCCACTAGATGCCAGTAACTGTTGTGCTGTGTCTGCAGGTTGATTCTAACTCTGCCGTAATTGGGCTAAGTTGTAATCTTTATGGAAGGACTCCTGATGGTGCAATGACTTAAGTAAGCATTGAGCTACTAACGGCAAGGTTGATGGTTCAAAGTCATCTGTCTCTCCTTCCCCTTGAGAGAACGACAAGGCTGCTCTGGTGAAGATGTCAGGTGTTGGAAACCTAAAGGACAAGTTTTACTCTGACCTATAGGGTTCCTATAAGGAGCCCTGGTGGCATAGTTTTGTTACTCGTTGGGCTGCTGACTGCAAGGTTAGCAGTTTGAAACCGCCAGCTGCTTTGCAGAAAAGGCTTTCTACTCCGGTGAAGATTATAGTCTCGGAAAACCACAAGGGCAGTTCTACCCTGTCCTATCGGGTCGCTATGAATCAGCATCGACTCAGTGGCAGTGAGTCTGATTTTGGTCAGAAAGGGCTCCTCAGAGATGGGCAAATTTAAGAAAGTAGATGGTGGATTTGAACTGTCGACGTCTGGGTTAGCAGGTCAGCACTTACCCGTTGCACCACCAGGGCTCCTGAGAGCAATAGCATCCCTTCCCTCTCCCCCTAGATATGTGACAACCCCAAACGTCTCAGACACGGCGAACAGCCGTCGGTCCAAACGCTTGGATGAGGGTGATGGGAGCGGAGTTCTCCGGGCAGGCCACGGAACGGCGAGGCCCCAGGGCAGGGCACGGCTCCGAGGAGGGGCTCAGGGACGCCGGCAGCCGGCGGCTCAGGTCTCCACAAACTCCGAAGCGGGGCCCGGGCCCCGCCCCACCCACTACTCACCGGGTCCAAAGGTCCGGCCGGGATAGCCAGCAGAACCAGGGGCCCGACGCGTTCCCTCCGGCGCACGACCTGCAGCCCCGCCCAGGACCCGCCCACAGCTCCGCTTCCGGTCGTGGGCTTCCGGCGCTGGGGCGCCGGGGGTGGGCTTCAGTCGCGAGCCGCCGCGGACAGAGGAGCCGTTTCAGCGTTTTCAGGGAATACCAAGCTACACAGCATGCGTTTCGGAGCTGCAGTCAGGTCCAGCGTGGGACGAGGCTGTGGGCCGGAGCAGGCTGGGGGCGTGGCTCTTTAGAGTCGGGGGCGGGGCTGTGGGCCGGAGCAGGCTGGGGGCGTGGCTCTCTAGAAGCACCTGGCCAACAGGGCCGTGACTAGAGTTGGGGGGCGGGGCTGTGGGCGGAGACCAATATCAGGGGCGGGGCTTTGGGCTTGCAAAAGGTGGGCTCCGGGTGTGGAATCAATGGGCCAGGCTAATCCTGGGTGGAGACACCAGACCTACAAGGAGTTGTGGGTGGAGACCAGTCGCAGGGGCGGTGCTGTGGGCGGAGACCAGTCAGGGGTGGGGCTTACAATAGTCTGGCTAGAACCAGGCTTGGGGCGTGGCTGTGAGAGGGCACCAGGTTTAAAGGATAGGTAAGAGAATTAGGATTGGAGACCAGTTGCGGGGGTGGGGCAATGGGCTTGCCCTAGGCAGAAGAGATGGTGAAAGTGGATCTTCGGGCTAGATCAAAGTTGGGTGGGCTGGGACTGTGGGTGGGAACTAGACTTGGGGACGTGGCCGCCGGACACCAGACTTGGAGGGTAGGTACTAGAGTTGAGGGCTTGGAGGGAGGGTAGATTACTAGAGTTAAGGGTGCTCCTGGGGGTGGAGACTTGCTAAAGGGATGGAGCTGTGAGCGTGCGTTAGGGCAGGGCTTTCTCAAACTCCGGACTACCTGCCATCAAGTGATACCACTCATAGGGATCCTATAGGACAGGGTAGAATTGTCCCTGCGAGTTTACAAGTCTGTAACTCTTATTTTTTTTTTTGTTCTTATTCAAAAGCTTTATTGGCATATAGTTCAAGGATCATACAATTCAATCGTCGGAGAGAATAACTCTTTATGGGAGTAGAAAGCCTTGTCTCGGTGGTTTCAAACTGCAAACCTTGCAGTTAGCCCTAGGATGGGTGAGCACTATGAAACGTGTAGCCACTATGAATGTTGGGTGGGACAGGGCTACGGATGGGCAGAGATGAGTTCTAGCAAAAAGAGGCTGGAGGCGAGAAGTGGGAGGAGTAGGTGTTTGGGATCGCTGCCATGCTTGCGTAGGAGGATGTGCAAAAAACTCTGAACACTTCTTTGATCCTTTCCCCAATCTGGCACAGCCAAACGGAACGATGTGCAATAAGACCCGCGAAAGAAAGCTGCACCCTGTGAAGGTAGAAACCTGTCAGAAAAGGAAAATGCAAATACTTCCCCCAGGATTTCTAAGATTAAATCTTTAAAAAAAAATCATTTTACTGGGGGCTCGTACAACTCATCACAATCCATGCATACATCCACTGTGTTAAGCACATTAGTACCTTTGTTGCCATCATTCTCAAAACATTTGCGTTCTACTTGAGCCCTTGGTATCAGCTCCTCATTTTTTCTATCTCTCCCACCCTCACGAACCCTTGATAATTTATAAATTATTATTTTTAATGTCTAAGACTAAATCTTTATAATGGCAGATAGCCTCATTTCTCTCCTTAGGAGGAGCTGGTGGGTTTGCACTGCCCACCTTGCAGTTAGCAGCCCAATGTCTAATCGGGCCACCAGGGCTCCTTCAGTGGTATACAAAAGACAAAAAAATTTTTTTAATTGTTTTATGAATGCATTGAGGAAGCCCAGATAGCATAATGGTTACGCATTGGGCTGCAATCCACAAGTTCAGCAGTTCAAAACCACCAGCTGCTCCAGGGGTTAAAACAACCAAACACAAATCAATGGGGCTTTCTTCTCCTGGAAAGAGTTACAGTCTCAGAAACTCATAAGGCAGCTCTGTCCAGCCCTGTAGGGTCACTATGAATCTGTATCAACTCTATGGAAGTGAGTTTGGTTCATTTTGGCGATGCGTTCTATGAGTTATCCAGAAGTAAATCTAGAAGAATAGAGCAGGTTAGTGGCTGGCAAGGGTTGGGAAAGGAATAAATGGAGAGTGATAGCTCCATGGTGATGGGACAGAACTGACTGATACGTCCCCTTTACCCTAGTTAATTTCATGCCATATAAATGTTTTACTTCAATAAAAAACATTGTCTCTTCTGGTCTTTGGGCACAAAATAGAAGCAAAAGGAATAAAGCACACACTTCCCAAACAAACTCACTGCCATCAAGTAGTTTCCGACCCATATTGGCCCTGTGGGACAGTCACGCTGCCTTTGTGGGCTTCTGAGGCTGTGAATCTTGATGGGAGCAGCCTCGTCATTCTCCTTGGGAGAGTGGCTGGTGGTTTTGAACTGCTGACCTTGTGGCTAGCAGTCCAACTTGTAAACCACTATGCCACCAGGGCTCCTTACATGAAAAAAATGAAAGCCAAACCCACTGCCGTTGAGTTGGTTCCCACTTGCAGCACCCCTATGGGGCAGAGTAGAACCATTCCACAAGGTTTCTCAGGCCATAAATCTTTCAGCAAAGCTAACTGTCTCATGTATCTCTATTTACAGCAGCGGGTGGGTTCAAACCATCAACCGTTGAGTTAGCAGCACAGTGCTTAATCAACTGAGCCAGCAGAGTTCCTAGAGTATACTCTTGTAAAATAAATAAAAAGTTACCTCATGACTTCCTGCATGTAGGGAACAAATCCAAATAAAGAGATAAAATAGAATAAATTCTAAAAGAGTCAGAAGGAAAAACAAAAGCGAATATATATAACATGCATTATTTAGGTATTTTTACAGTGTCTTTCAGGTCTTGCATGTTAATGTTAGTCTGAGACAAGATCCTTACATGAGCTATGAAGGCTGGGTGAGAGTACTGCACACAAGGGCAACTTACAAAAGAAAATAAAAGCAAGGGGGGGGGGAGAAAAAGAGAAAACCCGATAAGAAATCAAATAGTTTCTGTTACTTTTATAAAATCTGAAATAAAATGAGGGTGTTTGTTTATGATGCAGCATCCTATGAGAAACCTGCTAGACACTTATGAGCTACATCGCTAGAACACCTGGTTCCCCAGAATCAATTCTACCCTTTAGTCTTTTCTAGGAGTTCTTATTAGGCTTTGCCAAAATAGCATAGCCCTTTAGGGGAAAGATGCAGCCCGGTAGCCCCAAACTGGAGGCCAAGATGGAGAAGATCCCTACCATGACCTTCCTTGGTCGTTGTGGGGTTTACATGTAGGTCGCTGATTCGTCTCGGGTTGGTGATGTGCATGGGGTGAGGGTTGACTTCTGTTTCATTCTGACGCAGTTGGAGATCCAATTTTATCACCTCCATTTGTTGGAGAGAGTGTCCATTTCCTATTGAATTTTTTTTTTCCTTTGTCAAAAATCAGTTGTCTTGTAGGTGCATGCCTTTATTTCTGGGTTTTCTACGCTGCTTCATGGATGTATGTATCTATCATTATAGCAATACCGGGCTGTTTTTGAGTACTGTGGCTGTGTAAGAGGTTTTGAGGTAGGGTTGTTCATGGCCTGCTATTTTATTCTTTGTTTTGATAAGTTTTTTTGGTTTTGGTTTTGCTTATCCTGGGCATTTCCCCTTTCC